GAGTGCCAAAGGCCCATTTTAAAGGCCATACCAGGCCCTGGAACTGGTGACAGAAGACAAGGAACATACAAAAATAGTACAACAGGCCAAGACCCTACCTCAAGGTTCTTGGACACCTTGGTTTAAGAAGTGGGTAGGGGAGAGGATCCTCAGGAGCCGGTTGGCCCACTTGAAGATATAGACAAGGAAGTGGGAGAAGATGCTATTATAATCAATGCCTGCAGTTTAACCTCCAGAACCTGTACGCAATGCCGAAAGAAGTTCAATGATCTCACACGAGTGTTGAAGATTAGTAAATGCATCTTCACATGCCATCTCCCATTAACCGTTCTGCTGGCCTCGCACTGCTCACTTCTTTCATCCACCAACAACCTCTGTTGACCACCAAACCTTGTAGATTCACCTCATAGGCTCACACAGTTAGCATTGATGCCAATTACTCATGCTCCTCTCACAGTTTACACATAGTCCCAGCTATGCAACTCAAACACAAGGGATCTCCCTCACTAACAAACCTCCCTGTCTTTTGCAGGGCAACGTTACCCTAATAGGTGGCAGCTAACCAATGGAAAGATGGCGAGGTGGGGCTGGGGTGGTGACAAAGGTCTGGGGGAGGAATCACCGATGAAGACACACTGAAACTTTTTTTACAGTCCCAGTCAACACCTCAGATACTGACACAGTGAATGCTTTAGACGTAGCCTAAGAGTGGGATTGTCATGTTGAGAGTCATCAGGCACAAATAGCCTTCATCCAAAGTAGAGAAATAGGGCCATGCATTTTCCAGCTTCCTAGAGAATGAAGTCACACATAGTTCTCATCTGAGTCCTCTACCGTAGAGCCTTTGGTAGTGAGATGAACAGAAAAAGACAAATAGACATGCACACAGAGAAGTTTGCTGCTATGGCAGCCCTACCTGTGCTGTTATTGTCAAGGAGTGTGGAGGATTCTAAGTGCAATTTGGCACCAGGTTTTGCGTGGAGCTTGCAGACCACCCTTTCAAATGTGCAAGTGGCGGGCAACTCCATGGGAGCTGACCATAATTGAGCCTCTGATGTTCAGCATCCATTGGAGCACAAACAGAAGCCACTTTCAGGGACAGCTCAGTCAGAGAGCATGAAATCTCAGCTTATCATACAGGAGCAACCTACTGCCATTGTATCTGTTGATGCTGGCACTCATAGGGTCTTTCGGCATCCCACAGTAGCACAGCAACCTAGGAGAGTTTTCCATATTCAGTGGATTTTCTCTCCAGTTCCCTTCAGATTTCTTAAGGATTTTCCCAATTTTTCATGAACTGATTCTCATTTGTTTTACTGTTTTTGGCCTCACCAAGGAGACCGTATGGTTATGTATTTGGGCATTTGGCCCGAACCAGGAGATAGCATGGTTATTTCGGAGGGTGTTTGTCGATGAACCAGATTTGTGTGCAGCCAGCCTGATGCACACTTTGTTCTCCCTGTTTTGTGTATTCATGTGTAAGTAGGCAGGGTGGGTACTTTTCATATTTGTCCACTTAAAGAATAGAAGCTTTTACATAATACTTTTTATGACCTCAGGACATTGTAAAGTACTTTACATGCATTGGAATACTTCGAAGTGTAGTTACTGCTACAGCATTGGAAATGTGGCATCCAATTTTCAGACAGTAAGTAAGGTGATAATGACTAGGTAATCTGTGTGAATGATGTTTGAGAGGCTTGATAATAAATATTGACCAGGACTGAAATAGCACCAAGAGATTTTTATATCTGTTTAAGAGAACAGTTAGGACCAGAGTTTAACACCTTATCAGGATGACAGCACCTCCAACATTGCAGAATTTCATTAATACTGCACTAGAGGAATCTATCTTGATTTTGTGTTCAAGTCCTGTAGTTGGATTTGACCATAGTGTACAGCCTCTGTCTTAGGGTCAAGACTGAGCCAAGGCTGACACATTGATGTAGGATGTCATTCTGCAGCTAGAATAGTGCATAAAGTATGACTTGCACTGCTGCTAATATCCAACATAGCATTTTCTATCATAACTTCAAAAGCCTTAAGGCACTTAACCTTACTCCATATTTTACGTTGATTGGATTTGCTTTTATTCTTCCTGCTATTGTTAGATTTTTGGTTGAGTGCTTTGTCCCAATGCTAAATAGAATTAAATCACATGGAGGAAAAAATTAGAATTGGTGATTCTAATTCAGTGGGGGTCTTCACCCATGAAATTAGTTACATTTAAATCTTCAAGAAAATAAAGTGTGCTACAGTATTCAATTAACATGACTGTATTCATTGCAGCAGCACTGTAAAGAGGCTTCTGCCTGTGGGTATTCACAGCATATCAAAGACAATGCAGATTACACGGCCGCTTCACCTATTTTCTGCAGAGAAATCTTATGAAGCATTCTACATATTGTTAGTTGAATTAACTGTATGAAGGTAAACCTATTGGTAATGCAAAACCGAGGTACTGCTGGTAGGTCTTGTGAATGGACAGTAATTTCTTTAATCTTGCAGAAAGCTTGAATTTATTTTGTACCTTCAATGTGTCAGGGTGTCTGAAAGATTCTGCAAGCAATGAGGCACTTTTGAAATGCAGTCATTGCTGTAATGTAGAAATGTGAAAAATTATTAGTTGTGGCAAATTTCCACAAACAGCAATGTGGTCTGAGCATTTCTTTTTAACATTGGTTGTGGGATAAATTTTAGGCAAGACACTAGGTAAAATACCTCCAAGGAAGAAGCGTCACTGTGAACTGAGTACAAGAGGGAAGGAGTACCTCAAAGTCAGTGTGATAACTGTCTATTTAAATTTAAGCCAAACAATTAATTATTCACCAATTAACAATGCAGGTACACATCAAATTCTTGGCCACCATGCCTTGGAAGAAATAATGGAAAACCCTGGCAGATTTTGACAGTCAACTGTTACAGCATGTCAGGTTGTTGTTAAACAAGCACTTTAAGTTACAACAATTGTGACAACTTTTGATTTGAATGTGGTATAATAAGGAACACGTATAATTTCTTTAAAAGGTCTGTGGAACCTGTTGTTATTAAGAATTCTTGAGAAATATCTTTAAGAGTTTGTATCAACTGAAGAGATCAACTGTAATTTTATTTGATAATAAGAGGTAGTGGTCCAGATGACTTGGTGATTCCTGACCTGGATGCAGCACCAACAGTAAGTTCAGGAAAAAGCAGTGAGATCTGCAGACCAAAAGAAGAGCTACAAGCAGAGAACCTTCTGTGAAGGATATTGACACACAGAAGCAGATGTAAAGAGGAGGAGACAGAGACAGGAAGGATTATTGTCAGAAAAATAAGTAAATCACGCTCTGAAGATGTCAAATTTTCTGTTTGACCAAGGATGAGACAGAAGCTTGTACAAGTACTATGTGAGCTGACTAAAAATATCTAAAACTTCAAAGTGTGTGAAAATCTCAGGCATAGAAAAAAGTGAAACTTTGTAGCAGGGGACTAGAATGTGAACCTGGTATTGTTGGTTAGCAGCTGAGAAAGAAATTAGGAAAGCTACAGCATTGGAAATAGTATGACCCGAGTACAAGAGGGGTCATAGACATGTCACTCACTGATAATAATCCTACCTGTGAAACACAAAGGTGAAAGCTCTTGTTAGGTAGACCCTACTAATCTACTGTGAATAAAAGAAGGCAAATTTTGGATCTGTGCAGCTATGTAGTGTCATATTTGTGCAGGAGTGATGTGCAAGATATGTCTTTGTTGTATCAAGTATTCAAAGTATAATTTACCTTTTTATTGGATGTATCATTTGCACATTAATTAATGTGTACTTTCTGTTGGTTTTGACTCATGCTAATGTAAAGTACAGAAAGTGTACAATACTCTTGAGTCATGGTTTGCAACCAAACTCCACTGTCTGGGTCCTGCTGGTGTCTGCTTCCCCAGAAATCCCCTCATCCCATCAGACTCTACCTATTTAGAAACATTGGTTCCCTACTGACAGCATGATCACATCATAGCCAATGAAAAATACCAAGAAACACTCAAGAATCATGAAAGACTAACTGGGATAGGGAGAGAGGTAAACACAAACTTGGTAAGATACAAAGCAAGAAATACACAAACTGGGTAGTGACAGATTAACACAATCTTGGGAAGAGAAACAGAGAGAGAAAAACACAATCACGGGGAGAGAGAAAAGGCGAAAAAGAGGAAAGAAAGATTGATTTGCAAGCTTATGGAAAGGGGGAAGAGAGAGAGAAAAAAATGGGAGGGGGAGAAAAATATATACTGAGGAATAAAGACTGAAAAATACAAAATTAAAGGAGTAATAGAGAGAATTGTAAAGGGGAGAACCACACAAACTGCAAGAGGGAGAAAGAAATACAGACATGCAGAGGGGAAGACAAGAGAAGCACAATGCAGGGAGAGAGTGAGCAACATAACCTGGACCAAGGGAGTGTTCATCCTGGCTGTTGGTTAATGGCAGGCTTCAGGAAGCTTGTAATAAAACAAAGCGAAGAACTGCAGTTGCTGGAGATCTGAAACAAACAAAAACAGAAATTGCTGGAGAAACTCAGCTGATCTGGCAGCATGTGTGGACAGACAACAGAGTTAATGTTCATGTCCTGAGACCCTTCTCAAGATGCTTCCAGACCTCCTGAGTTCCTTCAGTAATTTCTGTGTTTGTTTGGCCAAGAAGCTTGTTTTGCTTTTTGAGGTCTGCGCCTCATGTCCCTAAAGCTGGACTACTAAAGTGGGCTGAATTAGGTTTCATTTTAGTTTGATTATTGTTTCCTGTGCATCGTTAAATGTCATTCAATTACACAACAACTTTAGGATTGATGAATTTTTTGTTGTTTCAGTGGTATTTACTTGCCGTTTTTCATTGCAATCAACGCAATAGAAACATTACAGAGGTAATAACCCTTTAAATTTATTTCATTGTGCATTGCTGATTCATTTGAATGCACAGAACCTTTCAGTTTTTTACACATGTAAGCACAAGTGGACAGCCTCTTCTGTAGTGCTTTCCAAAATAGTCTTAAGAGCAGTACTCTGGTGAGAGTGAGGGTGGCTTCTGGAGCAGTTCTGCAACCCATGACTTTTCACAACAATCAGCAATGGTTTCATCTTCACTGTTTACAGGACTAGCTTTTATATGAAGAGTACATTTGGCTTAAAGTTTATGTACTAGTGTTTATGCTCCCTGTCAGCACAACGAATGAGCTGCCGTTGGTCAGATGGCTATGGAAGGCCTGGCCACTTCTGGAGTGTTGTGAGAGGACACTTCTGATGATCCTGTGTGCTTGTTTTCTTTTCCACCTGGGTGCTTCCTGGCACCTCCCTATCTCCTTGTAAAGGGGCAGTATCAGATTCCCCGTCCCCTGTCACCATGCCTTTGGTTCTGAGGACCAATGGCTGGAGTGATGGAGTGTAAGTCTGTGCATCTCTCCAGCATACCTTGTACACACCTGAACTGAATCTCCATTCGTAGCAGCTGCCGACATATACACGGATGCAGGGAGATGATCCAATCTTTGGGTGTCCAAAGTATGCCTTCACTTTAACAGTCTCTAGTCTATAATGACCACTGACCCCATATAATGGTTTGCTGCTCCTGGTCCTCCCTGCAAAGGTGGACTAAGTCCCTGATTGCTGACACCATAAGTTCTTCTCCTGCCAATCTCTTGCAGCCCACTGAGTGTTTGCGGTCCGGTGCTTTTCTTCTTCGTCAGCTGTGTAGCCTTTGCAGTGAGATGCTCACCAGCCTGGGCTCCCAAACTTTCTAAGTGTGAAATTCGCAACAAGGCATCAGTATTTGAGTTGGTAGCAAGTGCAGGAGACAGCCTTGCCAAAGCTCCTCTGAGGTCTCAGAACTTGCTTCCTCAGCGATTGGGCAGCTAACTTCTCCACCAAGGGGTGGACATCCTGCTGACATCTGTCAGATGCAAGGGAGAGAAGGCAACCAGCGATGCATTATGAATGACACTGACAGTGGTGTTACTGCCAGAGTTGCAGTGGAATGAAGCATGGTACTTACTCGGTTGGTGGGATGTAGAAGTCTCTACATCCGCACAGGAGTTAGTCTTCTCCTGCAGAAATATTCTCCTTGTGGTGAGTGAGGAGCCTGATATCAGGCACTTCTCCACCTGCCTGAGCCCTTTCTCTTATCTTATAGATTGCCTTCTCCTGGAATATGAGAAAAGGAAAGGAATTGAGTGCAGTAATATTGAATGGCATATTGTCAGTCCTCCTGCAGGAAGTCGACAGTTGGTGAGATGTCTTGGAGAATAAAAGTCAGCACAGAGGCCATGCAGTGTTTGTGGTGTGGGAGGTTTGGGGTGTGAGTGAGGAAGGGAAGACTTTGCAGGCAATAGTGAGACTGGAAGAGTGTGAACCTTGGTAGGAGGTAGGTGCAGGAGCAGAGATACGGTGAGTGTGAGTTAGCAGAGGGAAAGATGTGGGGCCACTTACTCTGACAGAGCAGAAAAAGTCAGTGACCATCTTGCAGCATATTTCTCTGGACTGTGGAGGCTGCACTAACCTGGATGGCAACCTCAGACTAATTGGCCAGGTCTGTGGCCTCTTCTGCCAGTCCTCCAGGAAAAGATCGCCCCTTCTCTGGATCACCCCATGCACCAGGACCTCCACTAGCCTGACATCTTCTGATTGAATATTTGTCACTGAGAAGGCCACCTTTGGAATGCTAGTACTTGTCTGGCTGCACAGAATCCTGATAAGTATGGTGCAGCTGCCAGTGAAGCTGGTCTTTTGGCAGATGTCTGGTGTGTGGTAAGCTTTTCTGGGAATGGCACATGGTGAAATAGGATTAGAATCAGATGAGGGGGGCAATATTGGGGTTGGGTAGATAGTTAATGAGGTGAATTTGGTTAGATAAGGTGAGAGATCTTGCTAGGCCTCACAGTGAGAAACCCTCCAACAAATGTGACAAAACTGACGTTTAGCCAAAAAAATTTCTGATTCGGCCCTTTCTCTTTAATCTAAATTGCCAAGCAGCCTTCTCTGGAGACTGCCTTAGACTGGTGTGGTGTTACACACAACCAGACTCTCCAATGCAGTTGTGAATGTATTTCCCTGCAACATACGCTTACACATACAATTGTTCCCTTGTTAATTAGTTTCTGAGCTCTTTACAGACAATAGACCAATATATTAAACTGGCCTAAGAAGTCCACCCAGAGTTGATTTATTCTAGAGATATAATTTCTTGCAGTTTATTATCCTATTATGGCATAGAAAATATAATTTGCATCACTACACAAATTTCACTGTTACTTATTGTGTAACAAGGTTAATATGCTTACACTTCTATGTTTCATTACAATTTTTATCCACATATCACTGGAATTCTTGTAGCCAAGGCATAGAATATAATAGTGGGTATGTTAATCAATTACTGTATATATCATTACATAGGCCACAATGTAAGTACTGGCTGCAGTTTTGTCACCTCAGTACAGAAAGGACTTATTGAATTAAGGAGGAGGTTTATGAGGATGTTGCCAGGACTGGTATGATGCAGCTATGAGAAAAGATTGGATAGGCTGGCTTTGTTCTCTTTGGAACAAAAGAGACCAAGAGAACAATTGATACAGTTGTATAAAATTGAGAATGATCTAGATAGAGTGAATGGGAAAGTCCTATTGATCTTATTTGAGAGGTTAGTGATTAAGGAACATAGATTGAAAGTGATTGATAGAAAAATTATGGGGGTGTGGAGAAGGAGCAATATTTTTCACCTAGAGGATAATAGGGAACACACTGTGAAAAATAGAGATATAAACAATTCAATTAAAAAGGTATTGGTACAAGTTCCTCAAGTGTCTTCATCTGCAGAGTTACAGACCAAATGCTGGAAAGTGGGATTAGGCTATGTCATTCATAAATCTGCTAGTATGGAGATGATGTGCCAAGTAGACTCTCTCTGTGCCATAAACTTGCCACCATTCTGTGACCAGAGTCAAAAATTACTGGCAAGAATAAAGTCCCAAGTTCAGGGTGGAGTAGATATCATGAGCTCAGGACAATTGCGAAGGCTATTTTACTGACAGCAGCCAATTAAGAGGCTGCTACCTAGACCACAGTCGCCTCTCCAAACCATTGGCCCAATCTGATGGAGGTGGCTACTGCTAAAGAATCAAAGAGAGAACACATGCATATTGTTGTCATTGAAAAACCTTATAGACAAACAGAGAATTTACTTTGTGTCCACCAGGCAGGCAGCACCAGTGATCTGAGGGCTGAGGTGGTCTCTCCTGTGGCAATGTTTGGGCTTCAAGATGGCAATTGTTGACAGTGGGTTTCTCCCTGAGCTATCAACTCTTCAAAAAAGGATGGCACCCTCCATTCCTCTCCACCTGGGAAATCACTTGGTGCTTACCTTGATGTAGCTGGCAGGCACAGGGGAGGCGATGGCCAGTGAAATTATCGCTGGACTGTTAATCCAGAGACCCAGGTGATGTTCTGGGGATCTGGATCTGAACCCTGTCATGGCAGATGGTGGAATTTGAATGCAATAAATCTCTGGAATTAAGAGTCAAATGATGACCGTGAATCCATTGCGGATTGTTGGGAAAAACCCAGCTGACTCACTAATGCCCTTTAAGGAAGGAAATTGCCATTCTTACCTGGTCTGGTTTACATGCGACTCCGGACCCACAGCAATGTGGTTGACTTATACGCTGGCCTAGCCAGCGATGCCCTCATCCCATGAATGAATAAGAAAAAAAAACCTCAGCTGTTGAGAGGCGGATAAAATATCCATGGGTGGCAAAATGGCAGTTAACAAACAATTGGATTAATTAGCTGCCCTCCTCTTAACTGATTATCAGAGGGACAAACCATTAATATTAGGGAATTAATGTATTGCACATATTGGACCTCTGTTTTGAAATACCCAAGACCAGTTGGATCGTATGTCTCATTCATCAGTTTTAGTGGTTTCTCCTTTTCAGTGGACAGCTGTGCTGCTGTCATTTCTGCTGTTGCAAATGTCCTCCAGCAGTGGGAACAGACTGGGCTTCCCTCACACGAGCTGTCACTCACCATCCTTCTGCTGGCCACTTCCAAAGGGTTGATAAAATTCCAGATTAACTATCCACTCCACCCACCCATACACACACACAGCTCAGCTTCACAGGTACATTCAAGCTGTTGAGATATCGGCAACACACAGCAACACCTGAATCAAATAAATTGGATATAAAACCAATGCATCTGCAAACCATCACACTTTGCCTTCCCATAACAGGATTCACGATAATTAGAATGTAAACAATCATGAGGCTCAGGGTCTCAGACCCTAAATAATATCAGTGGAGCTCTTTTTGTATTGTCATTACAGGCTAGAAATTATATTCCCTGTTGATGTTACAATCAGATTATGAGTGACATTATTTTATTTTGACTTGTACTAGATTCTATGCCACCACCATAAATATGAAATTTTCAAAACAAAAAGACAAACAAATATCTGGCTCAGGTAATCCTGACTGACAGCCACTTGTTCTTGTCTTTTCCTTAACTGAATAATTTTTTTGGTTTGAAGTTCGAAGGTGACCCAATATTGTAGTGTTGTGTTGTGTAGCTACTGAGCATGACTGTGATTGTCTCAACTGCAAATAGCTTTTAAGGTTCCACAAAAATATCACTGCCCTTTCTTCTTCAGTGCTACGTCCAGGAAGAACTAATATGCTGAAAAGTCAAAGGAGAAATTGAAGAACGTTTTCAGCAGGAGCACAGTTACAGCTTTAAGTGATGCTACATTTATGTTAAAGAAATAGCTGCAGTAAACACAATCTATCTGTCACCCTGGGGGATGGATCTTAAGTGAATATAACTTTTATTTTGAATATGCTCAAAAGACAGAAAGCTGAGCATGCTATTAAATTGCATTTTGTATAAACCAGAAATCATTGAAGGAACGTGGAGTAATGCCACAATGTTCCCAAAAATTCAAACAGAAGCATATCAGAGCAGGGAAAATAAACTTGAGGTAAATCTGCAAATGCAACATCACAGTAGAGAGACTGGAGGAGCCCAAAAGCCATGGTGATCTTGGAGCAAGATCTCGGAGTAGAAGGTGAGGCAGAAGTAAGGTTTTTTTTTTAAAAAGAAGTCTCCCCAATTTTAATTCAGGCTATCAACATGTTGACATAAAAAAAGTACTGGAGAAAGGCAGGCAGATAATGTGTTAAGACTATATTACATGGAAGTTTTTTGACAGACAGTCTCCCAGATTTTCACGTCAGCAGGAGAAGTTCAGTCACTCTGTTTCCAAGTCATTGAGCTGGAGCGCTTGTTAAAGGCATACCGAAACATTGAGAAGGGCAGGAATTTTGGGAGTTTTATCCAATTGCACCCCAGACGGAAGCAAACGTTCAGAACAGGAGAGTATGATGGTCGGGAAGCTGGTTAGCAGGGATTCAGGACAATGCAGACCAAGGTACCTGATTCAGAAGACTGCCCAAGGCAGGTGGGTGTTGTCAATGTTTCGAATCAAAAACTGTTCTGGAAGGTTAGGAGATGCCTCTGGAGCAGTTGGGACTTGAGCCTGGACACTTCAGCCCAGAAATAGGGACCTACCACTGTGCCAGAAGAGCAATAGAAGGGTGAGAAACATAATCGATACAAATCCAATTTGCACAGGCAGTGGTTTTCAAATCTATTACCTTAACGACCCAACCACAACAACATGTCAAGATGAAATAGCACAATGTATAGCTATATTTAATCAACTTGCTCAGAGATGTTACAACACATCTCTGCAGCAGGTGGGACTGGAACCCAGACCTCCTGGTGTAGAGATAGGGACACTATCACCGTGCCACAACAGCACAGGCAGTAATTGTATATGGGTCAGAAAGGACCTGAAAGAGTTATTATTTGATACGAGCATAATAAGCACCACACCCTGTGATGAAATTCCTGAGGACCTGGTGGAAGGGTAATGCAGAATCTTGTGGCAAACAGACCTGAATTTAGATCCTGTCACCTGTCTTTGTAATAATGTAGAGCACATTCTTATAACGTGTAAATAGTTGTACAGATGCAACAAATGACAAATTGTTTACCCTACAGGACTCTTCTCATTAGGCCAGAAAGTGGCTTCCCTCACATACATTAGATTATGCAAGTCCTGATAGAATCCACACAATTGCAAATTGGTA